AGATGTGGTTACTGACCCCCCTAGTCCCAGCGTTCCCCTTGTCCCCCTTGGAGTATAAATTATAGTTCCTGACACTGCTTGTGCAGAATGTTATGGTCACTGAATCTGCCAAAACGTGGAGAAAAGAATCTTCCCATATATTCTGTTCCCATTGTTTCATTGTTCTGCAGCAACATTCCTCTCCAGGTAGAAAGCAAAGGCACGGTAGGGCATAATTAAGCCCTTTGGGCCAGGGTAGTGTTACCCTTCAATAAATACGGGATCAGTGTATTCAGTATGTGGTCAGTTTAACTAAACCATTAAAGGCTTTGTCCTTTTCAAGAATTCTCAAACCTCCCTTGCTCAGTTTTAACTTTTCTAGCCAATAAAATGAAATGTTTTTTTCTTTTACCATTTCAATGACTTATCACTATGAGAAAATGCCAGTTTATGTGGGTAGAACAATTTATAAATATGGCTCTGTTAATCACTAGCTAATTGGTTCATTTGCTCACTATTGCCTGTTTTATAAATAACCTACACTTGGAAGGATTAGATTTTAATTGGTAAATGTTGGCAGAATTCAGTCTCCATTTAAAAAAAAAAAAGAAAAAGAAAAAAAAAGATGAGAAATAATTTCCTTAATTAATAATCAAGTGAAAGCTAAAAACATATTTTGCAGTGTTAGACAACTGGTATATTTCTCTTAAATCTGTCTGACAACAAGAAATGTGTCAAGTATTATTTGTGATGCTTTTGGGAACCTCTGCTCCCATGGTTACTAAATGGTGAATGGACACCTCTTGCAGCACAAATGTAAACATTTTGTAAACGTTTGAAAATACATAATGCAGTTAGCCATGAGTATCTTTTCTTTGTATACTTCTATCAACACTCTTTGTCTCTGCCTGTTGGGCCATGATAAAACCTCCTGGTAGCAAAGAGGCTTTAGGGTATTATGCATCAGAGGGTAAAATTTGAGGGCTACAGTTCTTGGGGGAGAGGTGTTTTCCCAAACCTATAACCAGCACATGCAGAGAAGAAAGTACAAATGGCTGGTTTTATTGCTAAAAATTCTCCCTTTTAGTCAAATTGTGGAGAACAATAGTATCCTGGTGCAGTTGTCATGTCCCATCTGAGTTGGCTTGGAAATTGCAGCTGACAAGAACTACCAGACATCATGGCTTCTCCCATGGAAAGACAAGATACTGGAAAACGTGCAGGGAGAACAAGAGTGTCTCTATAGGTTTCTGATTTCAGTCTCACCCTTGACAGTAAGATGCAGCATTTTCCAAAGAACATCAGTAGGGCTTATGATGACCTCCATGAACATCATAGGGTCATAAGGAAAAGTAAGAAAATGAGCTCAGTCAAAAGATCTTTGTTCCACAGAGCTAAAACTGGATAAATGCAGTGTTATGTCTGGAGTGTAAAAGCCTTTATTTTCTTATTGGCTTTTTACTTTTATTCCCAGAGGATGTTATCATGAATTTTAAAGATAAATTTATACATTTCCTATTTTCTTTCAGCGGGCATTAAATAAAAAAAAGTTGACTACAAGTGAATTCAGCAATAAAGAAAACTCTGATGCAAGCACAGAGCATGATAAGGAAAATCCTTCTACCAAAACTGAACCCAGAAGAGTTAAAATATTTGATGGAGGGCAAGTATTATATTTTTTTTTTAACAATGCTATTGGGAGGATAATTATTTCTTAGTGCTAGGGCATGTGTGGAAGTCTGACATTCTTTCCTATTTAAATGTATCATAAAAAACAAATCTCATGATCTGTTCTGTAAAATGTTGGTAAGTTTCCTAGGAAAATGACTAGTCATATTATGCTCCACAGGTGGGGAAGAATTAAAAAACAACAGTGTGTTTCAATTTTTCCAAAGGAAAAAACCATGTCAGGTTAGCTATAGATGCTTTCCCAATATATAGATATTTTCCCAATATTTTTTCATTGTAAATAATTGTTATTGTCACAGTTATGATAGGCAACTGAAAGGGGAGATGGTCTGAGTGGTAAGCCATGGTCTGCAATCCAGTCTCTGATTAAGAGTAGTCCATGCTGCGAAAGGGCTGGAGAACTCTTAGTTTAACAAGTTTTCTGTGGAAGTCTGTACTCAATGTAATAGTCAAAGTACTGTAATATTTTCTACCAGGTAGCAAGCTGCTAGTCAAAGCTTAAGCAAATTTTTGTAATGCCGTTGAAATAGGTTGGGAGAAACACAAACTGAACAGACTAGGTGAATTGAGTAATTGGTAGGGACTTTCACTTGCAGGATGCTTCTTTAAATCCAGTTCAAGGAAATGGTGAACATAACTTTTCACCATGTGCTGAGAGGAATTGATTTTGTTTGTCTCTGCCCAACTTCTCTTGTTTTAGGACCCACTCCTCAAAAAATAAGCACCCGAAATGAAACTCTTGATGAGCCTCTCAGCAAAGAAGCGAGTTGTAATTGGATTTGACTAGGTTAAGATCCAGTAGTTCTCCAAGGTGTTCTCTTTTTAGCACTTGCTTTCCGCTCCCAACAGTGTATGGGCACCTATACGCACACCTGCTGCAACGCATGCTAATTAGCACGCATCAGAGCAGACTCAATTAATCAAGTGTGCTGGAGTGTGCTAATCAGCACACTCCAGTCAGCCTCAGCATCGCGTGTATTTGGTGCCCTGTGCTTCGGTGGCAGAGATGCTTTAACTAAAGCTTGTTGAGTAGGCTTTAGTTAAAGTGTCTCCACTGCCATTTTGAAGTGCAGGATGCTGAACGCACAAGAAGCTGTGGGTGCTTTAATTAGCGTAGCTCCTGAGAGCCACTAATTAAAGCCCCTACCTCACCCTGGAGCATATTTAAAGACACCCTATGCTTTCTGGAAGTGTGTGCACAATTTAGGCACATTTAAGATGATGTTTGAAATCCTTAAATGCTTTGCACTGCAATTCAGTCCTTTTAATGAAGGCAGTAAGGCATAACTCTAAAATTTTTGTTGGTTACTTACCTAAACTTTAAATGCCAGATTATCAGTAAGTACTTTCATTGATAAGAGAGAGAGTTTGATTTTGATATCATTTGTTTTTCATTTTGTCTAGCACTCTGCTTATTTTCACCACAAATCTAACTTACTAATGTAAGACCATAGATAGAAGATTGTTCTTTACAACAAACTATTATGGTATTGTTATTAGGTACAAGTCAAATGAGGATTATGTGTACGTGAGGGGAAGGGGAAGGGGAAAGTATATCTGTGAAGAGTGTGGAATACGTTGTAAGAAGCCCAGCATGCTGAAGAAACATATTCGTACGCATACAGATGTCCGTCCTTACCACTGCAACTATTGCAACTTCTCTTTCAAAACTAAAGGTAAAGGCACTTGTCACAGTTGAGTTTTTTTTGGTTTCTTTTTTTACTACCTGTAGTTTTTCTTTTGAGAAATCTAAACAGCAGAGTAGAACAAGTGTGTGAAATAAGTGTAATTACTCTAAGAACTATAAAAACTTGTACTATAAATCATTAACATCCATTCTCAGTGTTGTAAAGGATCTTTAACTTGTTATAGTTTGTGCTGCTTTCAAAGAATAGAAGTTAGCATACTAATACTCTGTATAACCAACATATGTTTCTCTTTATGTTTTTGTTTTGTGGGCACAGATGATTAAGCTTTATTTTTAAATTCGCATGATCTAGGTTCACATGTACTGTATATGTAATTAGATCTGTAAAAGACTCAAGGGCTGATCCATCTTAATATTTCCTTTCCATAGGATTGTTCAAGAATGTGGGCATCCCACTTTACTTATTTTAATTCTATCATAGACCTTTCACGATGTGAAGCCGCATCCATTGTCCTGGCCAAGATGAAATGAGAAATTAGCTGGGGAACTTTCTTCAGGAGCAGCCAAAGAGGCTGATAGGGAGGCACATCCCCTTCCCCACTAGCCTCACTATCTAGGAGCTGAATGGGCTCTTGTTGCATTTTGGAACTATGGAACTATGTTTCCAGAGCAAGGGAATGAACCTTCCTCCAACCATTTAAATGATTGGTCCTCTCCCAATGCAGTTGTTTTCTTACATACAGAATTCTTTTTCTATCATCTGGTTAAACTGTTCCCTTTCTAATTTTATTATTTGTTTACTTGTGAATTCTATATAAAAAATTACACTGACATTCTCTTATTTTAGCATGTTTATCTATTCTTACATAAATAGAGAATTTATGTAGGCTGTTCTGTTATAATCTGCGGTGTATTATAATGTATGCACAAACTACCTAAATGAGAAATGCATGATAGAAGAGAACTTACACCAAAGTGTGGAAAATTACATTTCTAACAGTAGTCTATAGTATTATTTACAATAGATTTTCTGTGTGCAACACTAATGTAATGCTATTTGGCAAACAGAATATAAATGAAGAACAGGAACTTTTTGTATGGCTCTTCATGTACATGTGTGACCTTCTGAAAAACTAAGTTATTATCAGGGATCCAGGTTTTCCATTTCCCATGAAAAACCCTAGATTTTTCCCTTTGAAGTGGGGAAACCACAGGTTTTCCCTTGCAGGCTGGCAGAGTCCCAGCCTGCAAGGAGCTCCTTGGGGCTGGGGGGTCAGGGAGGGCGATTGGAGGCAGGGGGAGCCATGTGCATGTGCACATGCACACAAATGTGCCTGGCAATACAGCCAGGCAAGGTGGTGGGAGTAGCCTCGGGAGTTGCATACTGATGGTAAGTCCATGGGATAGAGGAAGGTTGGAGAGCCAGGGCTTGGGGACTGTCCAGGGGGCTATGTGTGGGGAGGTGTGTGTATGTCAGGGGTGTATAGATGGGATGTGTGTGAGGTGTGTGTGTATGGAGGGGATGTGTATGTGAACACAGGTGCCTGCTGGCACTGGGGGAAGGTATCCGAGTGTCAGGGCTGCAGCAGGGCAGCGGGGTCTGAGGCAGCACTCAGTGCTGCCAGCAAACTCACGTTGTTTCCAGCAGGGCTTGCACAGAGGCACCTGCCCCTCCAATGGGGGAAGGGGGAAGCGGGGAGCTGCGTGGCTGAGCTGGCAATGGTGGGGGCTGGTACCATACACACAGGGGCAGGGTGGTTGGGAGATGCTGCCTGGGGGAAGAGGTGGGGCAGGGGACTGTGGCCAGGCTGCTTGGTGCAAAGCAGGATAGTATCAGAGGCATCCCCTCTGCCTCCCTCTAGCCCGTGCCGGGGCTGGACTTGCTCCGCTGCTGCCCACAAGAGCCAGAGTTGCCGCCACCACCACTCCCACTGCTGCTTGGTGGGCAGAGGGTGCCTCGCTTTGGCAGCCATGACTGTGTGGCTGGCACAGGGGTCCCAGTGGCAGCGGTGCCGAGTCTCCCCACCTCACCCTGCTCCAGCCTCCTGCACTGGGTCCCACCTGCTGAACCATGGAGGCAGCTCCTGCCCGGTGCTGGTCTGGCCAGGATTCAGCCCTGTTCCCTGCACCCACTGCCAGCACAGAAATATAGAAGGGCCTATGCCCCCCCATGCCTGCTGGACACATTGACAGTGGTGTCACCTATGCCCACCACCCCCTGTCTAACATACCCACCCCCATCCCCACACATATAGCCCCTGCCCCACACACTGGGGGCTCAGGGTAGCTAGGGGCCCCCTCTGGCAGAGCTGGGGGAGGCAGGAAACTACAGGTCAGGAGTGAAGGGCACCAGCAGGACTGGGAGGTGGGGGGCTCTGGTTGGGAGTGAGTGGCGCTGGTGAGGATGCAGGGGGCTATGGGTCAGGAGTGAGGGGCACCAGCAGGGCTGAGGGGGCTGTGGCTTGGGAATGATGGCACTGGCATATCAGGGTGGCTCAGCACCATAGGGTAGCAGGGTGGGGGGGCAGTTGCAGCTGTACCTGCATCCTGGTGGGCGAAGGGGGCGGGGGAGCTCTGATTTTCCATGATAAAAAAAGAACAAAATCAAATGCCAAAATATATAGCTATTTAGAATTTATTTTATTATAATGATTGAAACAGTGGTAGGCTCCCAAATTGCTTTAAAATTGTAAATCTATCAATAAAGCATTGTGTTCAACTGATACATATAGATATACTGATGTTTCATTGTAATCACGGAAAATCATGGATTTAGGGTGTTTTAGAGAATTATGGATTTTTTATCAGAGAATTTTGGATTTTTTAAATGGAGAAAATTACGATTATATAGTGTGATTATATGTATTTCTGCACACCAAAATGTGCAGTTTTAGCATCGGTCTAGATAGCTTGGACAACTGTAGCAGTGAGGATTTTAGGATCATAGGAAAGTAAGGCTGGAAGGGGACCTCACGAGGTCATCTAATCTAACCTCCTGCTTTAGATACAGCTGCACAGATTTTATCATGGGCTGGCAACCAGAATACAGGCCCTGTAGGCATCCTGCTGAAGCCAGCGTATCTCTGTGGTTACTTCCGCTGTCTCCCATGTTAACTCGATTAAAGCTAGCGTGAAAATACCTCGCTTGCTGCAGCCACACTTTTTCATTTTGCTTGGCAGACATTCCCTAAGACCCTTTGACAGTGCCCAATAGTACTTAGTCTTATGGTAAAGTTAGTTAATTTACTGCGCTGTATTACCGGCGCATGTGTAGACTGTGACACTTTACTGTGGAGCTAATTAATTTATTCTGCAGTAAAGCGCACAGTAGATGCACCATTGGGTGCATCTACTGGGAAAGGTGCATTTACTGGGAAAGGTGACTGGAGCTATTCTGAAATGTGTCCAATATAGAATATACCAGTGATTCTTAACCAGGGTGGTGCAAATCACATAATTCAAAAGATAAACATAGAGATTTCAAAGAAAAATCCATAGTTGTGGTATTTCTGAATTAACTGCAACAGAGTTGCTCTTTTCTTTTTCTGTAGTCAAAAAAGAAATGAACACTAAGAGTTGGCATTTTCTAAGGAGTGCCTCAAGTCTGCCCAGGGGTGCCTTGATCTGATTAGGTTGAGAACCACTGGAATAAACAATACCTGTCTTCCTACGTTTCTTTTCCTAAAACACTTCCTATCCAGTTTCTGACTAAGGTCAACCTCTCTGCTTGTAACACCTGACAAAAGTTACCGTTCTTGGGGTTGTGCTACTAGCTGCACTGAGGAGTGAGAATCAGACTCATATTTTCTGTGCAACACTACAGCAATTTGATGCTAAGGCAGTGGACAAGATATGAAATCTGTAACATCTTTCAGAGAAGTCATACAGTTAGGCTTTTGCGGTAGAAGTCTGTTGCTCTCGTGAAATCACCCATCCTAGTGTAAGGTAGTCCAAAACCCACTTTTCTGTAAAAATAAGATAAGGTGAGCTGTAAACATTGAGCCAAGATTATTCTCTTACCTGCATTTAACCTACTTACACTCCCTTTCATGGTCCAGATTTATACATTTGCGAAGTCAGTCCATAAGTCTAAAATGCATCTTAAATGTTGATGATGAGTTAAAGTTGAATGGAACAACTACTACAAAAAATGGCTAAGTGACATAAGTGTTAGGGCTGTGCGAAGCTTTGGTAGCTTATTCGATTCAGAGGAAATTCGGCCTGTTTCAGCAGCGGAATCTCCAAATCTGAATCGAATCGGTAGATGCATTAATCTCTCCAAATTGAATCAGAAAACTCCGAATCAATTCGGAGATTTGGCCATAGACTGTACAGGCAGGCACTAGGCAGTGCCAGTGGGAGCAGCCGGACGAGCCCCGACTTGAGCCGGCAGCCCCGGGAAGCTGGGGTAAATGATCAGGGGCTGGGGGAACAAACAGGGGCTTCCCCCAGCTCCCAGTTCGATTCCCCAGATCCTAGTTTGATCCCCTAGCTCCCTGATCATTCCCCTCAGGCCCTGTAGCTTCTCCCGGGGCTGCCAGCACTTCCTGCCTCGCCCTGGTGGGGGGGGGGCAGCCAAGGGAGCAGGCGGATGAGCTGTAGCTTGAGCTGGCAGCCCTGGAGAAGCCGTGGGGGCTGAGGGAAATGATTGGGGAGCTGAGGGGAATGATTGGGGGTTGGGGGAACAAACAGGGGCTCCCCCCCCAGCTCCTTGATCATTTTCCCCCAGCCCCTGCAGCTTCTCCTGGGGCTGCCAGCACTGTCTGCCTCGACCCTGCGTGGGGGCAGCTGGGGGAGCAGGCAGACAAGCCATGGCTTGAGCCAGCAGCCCCAGGAGAAGCTGCGGAGCTGAGAGAATGATTGGGGGCTGGGGGAATGAACAGGAGCTTCCCGCCAGCTCCCAGTTTGATCTGTCAGCTCCCAAATCATTCCCCCAGCCTCTGCGGCATCTCCCATGGCTGCCAGCACTGCCTGCTTTGCCCCGGCAGGGGGGCAGCCTGGGGAACAGCTGGACGAGCCACGGCTTCA